TCCATCCTGCCATCCCTTTGTACCTAATATAGAAGTGCAGAAGTGTTGCTCTTGCTGCTTTTCCCTGAGAAGAGCAGCCACTAGAGGGAAAGATGCACATGGAAAATCCCCCTCAACACCTCTGGGGCTTCCTTTGCAAGTATAAAAAAAAAAAAAGGAAAATCAGAATTTTACCTAGCATTTGTAAGGTGGTCTGATTTATCCTTTCAGATAAAGTATATTGAATGAGATTAGTTTTAGTATTGCAATTGCACCGTACATCATGAAACACAGCCAAAATTAAGGGCCAGGAAAAAAAAAAATCATTGGCTAAATTACACAGAGGAGATTGGATTACCTGTTCAAACAGAGCTCTTAATTCTGTGTATAAATAGAATCCACAAACACAAGTGCACTGCAGTAGAAAATAAAGCCAGCCTACAGCCCCTAATAACCCTTAATTATTAGGGTTTCAGTTAACATTTGGACAGCTTTGCTCTTAATTCTCTTAAGTTTGAAGAGGCAGCATGACCGAAGTGGCCACATTTACAATTACAGTGAGCACACACACTGTTCCAGCCTGGGCTGGCTTTAGCTGAGCGTTCTCTGGCAGCTTGGGCTGGGATTTTGCCCTGTTAAAATATAATTACCTATCTGAATGGCAACTAATTTCCAATTTGAGTTATTCATTTGTAACAATGCACTTGTTTTGACAGAAGTCCATGATAAGAAAAACAAACCGAGCTCCTGACCTTAGCATCATCTCTCACGTAGGAAATTTTTGTACGTGAAAGAAAATCTGCTGATATTCCATGTAAGTAATAAATTATCTCATCATCAGTCAATACAGCAACAGAGATCTGTTGTTGTGCATGCCATAAGTAAATGTAGCTGTAAAACAGACATCTCAAGGTAAGACTGAAATCCAGTGTTACTTAAAAAAAAAAAGAAGCTCGATAGTGCCATATTACACATGGATATTTACTATTGTATAAACCACAATGTTTAATATTAGTCTCAGGGATGGAGTTTTCAGATGCCCTTAGCAGTGAGCTAATACACTTTTCCATTTCTAAAGTTGCCCTGTGTGATATATATGTGAGATCAGAAGTCAAATACTATATTGCAAGCAGGCAGTAAAATGTAGCAGATAAAATTTAATATTAAATAATCTTAATAAGCTGTGTTGTTCTTCAAAATATACAAGCCCTAACACCTGTGTAGCCCAAGGGTCCTTCAAGGTACATAATTTGACATCAATTTAGTGCTGCAATCTCCACTTTGGTTAAGACTGTGTAACTCCTTCCCTTTTGACCTTCTGTTTGTAACTACCCATCCATCAAAAATTCCCACTCCTGAGACTCAGGTTTCCCAAAAATGTGAACTGCAGGAGTTGAATTTTTATTTCAACATTTTATCAATTTTTTTAAACATTACAAAACAGATGAAGACACAGGGAAAACACTAAGCTTATTGTGTTTGGTATTCTCTAGCCAGAAGTGAGATCTAAAAGTAAAAATCAGAACTATTTCTCTGTAGAACAAAGTGCATGATTAGTGTTGGTAAGCAACCTGGTTTCATTTGGTTAAATAAAATTAGAGAAGGTTGAGACAGGAATATACACAAATGATCAGCTGGTGGCTGCACAGGCACTCTCTGGGTGTCCATCCCTGGCCTGATGCTGTTTTCCCCTGGCCCCCAAACCTGTCTGTGCCATTTTTTGTTTTTCCTCTGCTGACTACGATCTGCACAGGCAGGCTAGTGGCACAGCAGGTCCTGGGCCTGTTGTATTCTACATTGTGAGCATTACAGATAATTCTGCTGGATGGCACCCTAGCAGTGCATCTGCTCCTGCTGTGCACTCTCTCAGTGAACTCAGCCTGCTCTTGAGATACCTTAATTGCTTGTTGTGGAAGCTGAAGGTGACACCATAAGCAAATCACCATAAATACATGCAAACCTCTCCAATAACAGCAAATCAGATGCTTCTAGATAGAGCACAGAATGGATCAGCAAGAACTGTTTCACTCTAAATCTCATTTTCACACATCTTCAGACTTTGTACAGAATCCCAGCAGATGCTTGGGAAGACAAGTATCTTAAGTTTAGATGGGCACATATAAATCCCTGAATTGCTTTTTGCTGCTTATAGTTCATAAACTAATATAGCAGTGAACAAACTGCATTTCATATAAGTTATCCAGTTATGGACCAGACCCTGAATTTCTTACTCAAGAAGATTAAATCAAAAGGCAAGTAGTCTGTGAAAAGGTGAATTTATACACAGCAAGATAAACTCTTGCCAAATTATTCTCTTGAAGGAAATATAAAGGTTTCCAGTAGATTTCTCTGTACGTATTTTCAGAGAAGCTTATGCTTGTTCCCCTTAGATACTTTCTTCATGAGTGAAGCTGAAGTTAAATGTCTAGTGAGACTGAGTTTTAAGGATGATTTTCCTAAAACAGGATTAAGGCTCACTAACAGTGTAATGGAGGGCAGGTAATGCTGCTGCTTTGTGGCTAAACTATATTTTGGTTTCTATAGATAAAAGCTCAGTACCTATGAGCTTTAAGCTTGCTCCTGTAAGAGGTAAAAAACCAGGTTATTTTGGTCTCTATAGTTCTTTTTCTGTAACAAAATAAGCAACCCTCTTATGATCTGAGCAGGATAGTAATCACTCCTGAAGTGGTGCTTCCAGGGCTTAACAAGGATCATTCAATTATTTTTTTCCCTCCAGATTATTTCCAAGTTGTTTGGTTGGTTGTTGTTTTTGTTTTTTCTTTAACCTCGGGTGAAACATTAGGGGAGTTCTACAAACTCTGCAGTTAATATGTCAGTACTGAGGTCAGGGCAAGTTACCACACGATGGACAGTTCACATATTTTCACCATATCCACAAGTTTTTTCTTAAAAGCAGACACCAAAGAGCTCTGTTTGACAAATATATCCATTTCAGACTAATATCTATTACAATTTGTTAACACCTTGACACCATTTCCATGGTATCACAATGAGCACTTCCCTCTTGGATCTCAATAACACTGACTAACAATGCAGTTTGTAATTAGAAGGGGCAACTTAATTCCTGGCCCTCTTGTAAGCATCTGGATTTGCAAATCTCCACTCCTAGATGGGGAGCTCTTTGCCACACATCACTAATCATGCCACGTGCTTAAATATCAGTCCCTACATCCTCTTGATGAGCACCTCTTCTTTGTGCCCAGTAAAAGTCAGGGACTTGTCAATACAGAGAGGATCAACACAACTGCCTAGCACTGCAAGTGACATTTAATGAAAATGAAGTCAGGTCTAATTTGCATGGCAGGTGTTACTTTATTACAGCCAGAGCTGCAGAAGCTGGAAGCTGCAGTGCTAGTCAAATGTGCAAGACTGAAAGCCACTGACAACAAAGGTGTCTGGCACAGGAATCTTGGCACCCCCCTTGTCTGCCTGCCCACCTCCTGTGCTAGGTAAAGGGACAAATTTGTTCATTTTTCCAGGTGCTCCTGTTCTTGTTCTTTCTAGTAACTCCATCCACCAAGCCATGGGAGTAGTCAAAGAGCCTGGGGGTAGAAGGCCCACCCAGCCTCCTGCCAAAGGGCCACCACACCAAACAACTTCCAACCCTGGCAGACCCTCCTGGGCTCAAATCCACGAGCTACATCAAAAGAGCTCAACAGCACAAGAGAATTTATTTCTGTCATGTACAAGCAGTGTCTTACAAGAGAAATACATTAATATTTTTTATGAGTCGTATCTTGAAAGAACATGTATGTTTCTTTGAGTCAAGTACTCAAAAAATGTAAAAGGGCAGAGTCATGCTCCTTCAGTTTCCATTTCCCCAAGTCATCTCACCAAAATGACAAGAATGCAAAATACTAATTTTCACTAATTTTTATTTGGTTTAGCCATTTTTGTACCCCTTAGAAACATTAATTTTATTTTAAAGTTTCTGGTTCTGATTTCGGGCTTAGTTAAGAGTGTCAGCAGCAATAATACATTGTAAATCTTCAGCTCATGTCTTGAAGTAAAACATAACACACCTTCTAACAGGGTGTGGCTCCACCCACTCACTTTCTATTTCTCAGGAGAATTTTTGTTCCTCTATTATCTCCCCAACTCCTTTCTGACCACTGCTCTTCCCCGATAATCATTTTGCCTCTGCATTGGTTTCCAGACTGTTTCAGTGTTGAACATCTAAAGTGCAGGGTGTTTTGACCCTCCCTGCGAAGGCTCCTGATGCCATTGGTTCCCGCTACATCCCGTCCCCTCACAGCCAGCCAGTACCAACCCACGGGCAGACTGCGACACTTCACAGGCTGTCTGAACAACTTTACAGACACGCATTTAACTTAGCAGGGCTGTTATATGAATAAAGTTTTATTTATAGCAGTTTTCAGAGAGAGAGAGATCACTTTCCCAGGTAAAAAATCTTACGAATCACACAATCGGAACAGCACAATAAAATAAAGTAAAGCCTTTACCAAAATTCATAATGATTTGCACTGGAGCCCAGTTTTGGATGCCATTCAGTTTCCCAGAGAAGATGCTACAAACTCCATAGAAGTTTTTTATCTCTGAAGTTTAACTTTGTAAACAGATCTGCCAGTTAGAAAAAAACTCTATTCCAGTCGTTTGTTTCTAATCTCTTCATTTACAATCCCGGGCGATGACTTTTTGACAGCACATCCAGAATGACCACAGGTCAGACATCCACCGAGACAAAGCAATCTTTGCAATTTAGGGAACAACGACGACCCTAAACCCGCGCTTGGGGCTGGTGCCGTGGTGGGGCCCGGCCGGGGACTGTCCCTGTCAGCGGGGTGCTCTGCCGGCCAGGAAAGGCTCTGGACGCTGTCGGAGGTTCTTGCTCAGGAAGCCTTGCGGTTTGTTCCTCCCCGGGATGGGAGCGAGGCGCCTGAAGAAGACAGCGGAGCCTGGACACTTCTGAAAGGGGGACCCGCGGCATCCCATCCCTCGGTGCGATCTCCGGCGGGAGGGGCGCGGGGTCTCAATCGCTGATGCTCTGGCTGCTCGGAAGCGGCAGCAGGCCTTTGCCCCGCCAGCAGCCCGCTCCCTTCCAGCCTGCCTCGCCCAGCTGCACCGCGGAAAGCCGCGGCCCCGCTCCGCCCCACGGGCCCTCAGCTCGGCTTTGCCCGACGTACGGGTCCGAGCTGCTCCACGGGAGTTCTGGAGCCCCGCCCCGCCTCAGCCTCCGCGCCCCGGCGCTCCTACCTACGCGGCGCTGTGCGGTGCGGTGCGGTGCGGTGCGGTGCGGTGCGCGCGGCTGCCGGGCACCTGCTCCCGCGCCCGCGCCCGCGCCGCCCCACAAAAGCGGCGGCGGCGGGCGGCGGCAGGCGGACTGCGCGCCCATTGGCTGGGCGGCGCGCGGCGGAGGCGGGCGCGGGGCGCTGACGCCAGCGCGGGGCCGGTGGGGAGGCGGGGC